AACTGCATTGCTAGAGTGATAAAACCAATTTTCTTATTACCCAAAGAAACTGGATCAAGTTTGGGAGTTCCTATATATAATGATTTGAGAGAAAATAAACAAAACCGGGAAAGTGAAATAGAAATTGAGAAAATCCAAAATTGTAAAAGCCAAGTTCGGATCCCAATATCTGTGTTGAACAAAGTCATCCAGCTACAGGCAGTATTAAAAATAAAGAATTCAATTATTAGGGACATTTCAAACGAAATAAAAAGATTAGCATGTGTAAATAATCAAGATCAAACTCCTACACTTGATCCCAGTCGGTGGGAGAACTTGGAGATTTTCAGAAGAGATGTATGGGAAAAGGTGGTTTTTCTTGCTGTGTGTGTACTTGGAGGATTGCTCTTTTTACTATGCTTATTTATCTGTTTTAGTAAAACAGTATTTGCTGTGCAGACCAACCTGAAGAAACCAAGAAAAGTAACAAGGTTAAGTAACCATGATTACCAAAGTGCACAAGAAATTTATAGTAGATTCAAAACAAAAAATTGTGAGTTGATGCAAGCTTAAGAATTTAAGCTCGATCAAAGAAAAAGAGGGGGGACTGTTATGAACAAAAATTCGGTTAATATTTTTTTGTGAGAAAAAGTTACAAAAAGGCAGCCAGATCTCTGTCCCTGCCAGGGTTCTGCATGCTTTGTTATTGCAATCACGGGTCGTTGTAGCTTATCCCGTTTTTTATTAGTAAAGGCCCTGGCTGGGGTGGGGTGATGGCCTTTCCCTAAGGCTAAGGTGTTCTCTTTTCCTACCATAGTGAATACACCTGAGAGGGTGGGGGGGTTTATGCAAAGTGACTCCAGGACCAGCATGCTTTTTAGGACCCCGACTCCAAAATGCAACGAGAAAACCCTAAAAACAACGAGCCACCTAAGAGTTGAGATACTAAAGTGATGTCCGGACGTGAGGAGCCAAGTGCTGAGCCTGCAGAGATGCGGAGTCCCTCTCACCCTGACCATGAGAGTCGTCCCAGGCGGAGAGACCAAGCCGAATAAGCCAGGAGGGGCAAGATCTGACGGGGGACATCACGCCCTAAAGGCTCCCATGAGGACCAGATCCCCCGGCTCTGCCCCTAGGGACAGAGCTGCGCATATCCTCCTCCTCTGAGTCGCCTTGGGAGACGCGACGGGGACTGCAGCCCTGCCGAGCCGCCCAATCCTGAGCTGATCACTTTTAATAAAGGCATTAAAAAGGAGAAGTCACCTGGCCCTGTTTATTTCATACATGCAGGGCTTCATCTGCCCCTCCTCCCCCTTTATTTGGAGAGGTTTATTTCCATGAGCAACCCCTGATATCCGCTGGGTGAAAGATGACACCCGTCGTGTCAGCCCTGCTATGGGGATTTCAGGGCCTTTCTCCCCTCCTGCTGCTCTCCACAACAACAGGAGGGCTCTCGCACTGCCTGGTCTGAGGGAGGCTCCCCATGCTTTGGTGTGCCAGTTAGGGTCTGTGCCCCCTGGGATCTGTGCTGGTTTCCCCTGGGGCTGACCTTGGCCGAGGGAAATGCAGCAATAAAGAATGGAATCTTGAAGCATTTTGGGGGTCTGGGGGGCCCCCGCAGCCTGAAGGGGTGCAGGAAGGGGGGAGTGAGAGCAGCTACCCCAACATGGGGTTTCCCCCCCAGTACCTGCCGGTTTGGTCTCAGCACTGGTACAATCCCCTTACATTGGAAAGCCACTTCTTTTGTGGGGGACATAGGGGCCTAAAACAACCCCCACCTCCCAGCCAGGGGAAGGAAGCCTTTTCATCTCCCCATTGGAGTGGAGGGGCTTTGTGACCCCCAAGCTGGGGGATGGGCACTTTGCAACCTCACCCAGCTGGGATGTCTGTGACTCCCTCAATTTGGGTGCAGGGGTTTTATAACCTCTCCCAAGTTGGAGTGTAGGCACTTTGTGACCCCTCCTCCCCTTCAGGATGGGGGGCTTTATGAGACGCCACAGACATAGTTGGGGTGTGCTTTGTTACCCTAGAGTGTGAGGACTTTGTGACCCCTATAACTGAGATGTGGATACTTTGTGAACTCCCCCAGTGGGATATGGGGCCTCTGCGATCTCCCAGTTGGGTTTCAGAAGCTTTATGACCCCCTGAATTGGAGTATGGGGTCTCTGTTAGCCCCCCTGACTTCCCAAGGCCCTCTTCAAACAGTTTTGGGGTGAAGGGGAGCAGAGTCCTGTAAATAACCCAACTCTCCCCTGCCCCAGGCGGTTTCTGTGTATTTGCAATTTTGGGGGTCACACACTGAGGGCGTGTCACACACACCTGGTGAGGAGTTAGACCTGGGGGGCATGCCAAAGCCTGAGGGGGGTTACAGCATGTGGGGGCATTACACACAGCCAGGGGATATCAGCATCACACTGCTGGGGGCTGTCAGAGCTGGGGGGGGAGTCATACATTTGAGGGGGTTCACACAGTGTGTGGGGGAATCACACAGCTGGGGAGGGTTCAGGGCTGGGCTGTCACAGCTTGGAGGGGATCACAGGTGCAGAGGGGGTCATAGCTGGAGTGGGGCACACAGCTGAGCAGGGGAGTTGTCACAGTCCTGGGAGGTGTCCTACAGCTGGGGAGGGTCACACATTGGAGGGTTATACATACAGCCAGGGCAGGGCCCCTTTCAGGGGAGATGCTTGAGCATCCCACGGGAGGGAGCTGTAATTAAAGCCACAATAATTTATTGCGATTTAAGGCAACTCAATACAAACCCACATGGACACAGGCGACACAGCAAGTGAGAACACCAAAACACTGGGGACCCCACTGGGATCAGCCCAGGTAATGTAGGAGAACCATGGATTTAGGGAGGCTAGTGAGGTGAGGAGGGGTCATGCATCACGCTAGGGGGGCACTCCACATTTGGTGGAGGCTCCTGCACACCCCAGCTTTCTGGTCAGGCTGCTGAAGACCCCTTGCTACTCTTCTGGGGGGCAGGACAGTCCTGGATGGGTATAGGGGTCAGCCCCATGGCCAAGAATGCTCAGGCAACACCATCCCAATTCCCCCGAGAAACCCAAAAGCTGGTTTATGGGTGTGGTGGTGGGAACCCGGATTGGGGAGGGGGCCCCAAGGTTGTGGAAAGGAGGAGAGGGACCTCCAGTCCCAGGTCCCTGACAGAGCATGCCTTTGATCCCTGATACAGGGTCCTGGGGTAGGATGAAGGGACATGGTGTGTTGGGAGTGGACAGTCAGGGTGGGAGGGTTTCAGGGAACATGGGAGGGATGGGGGTGTGGTTTTATGCCCCGTGCCTTCATGTAAGAGAGGAGCTGGTCGGGAATCTCAGCGAGGACTTCTCGTGCCAGCCCTGCCATGCTCAGTCCCGCACCAGGACCCCCCGTCATGTAGTCACGAAATGGAACAAACTGGGGGGGCACAGGGGGGCAGAGCGATTGAGGGGGTCCAGGACTGGGAAGGCCCCAGAACTGTGTCCCCTCCCCATTCCTGAAGTCTCAGTGTCCCTCACATCCAGGTACCTACTAAGACACAGTGCTAC